TAATGCAAACCAGAAACCTCCTAATGCATGCCACAAATCTCCTAAAACAAACCACAAACCTCCCAAAGCAAACCACAACATTTGCGAAAGCACACCAGAAACCTCCTAATGCAAACCACAAACACAGTAAATCAAACCACAAAAAAGCAAACCATAAACATCCTAATGCAGACCACAAATATATTAAAACAAACCAGAAACCTCACAATGCAAACCACAAGTTTTTGAAAACAAACCAGAAACTTCTCAATGCAAATCACAAACACAATAAAACAAACCATAAAAGGCATAAAAAAATATGAGAAACCAAACCATAAATCTCACATGCAGACCATAACATCCGGTGGTCGTTGACCGTTGACCGGTCAACGAAAGCCGTTGACCGAACTCCGGTGACCGTCAGTGAGCAGATTCCGACGCCGATAGGCATATTCCGGCCCCGGTGACTAGATTTCGACGCCGGTAAGCATATTCTGACGCCGGTAAGCATATTCCAACTCCGGTAAGCATATTCCGGCCACAAAATAGCATATTCCGGCGACAAAAAGCATATTCTGGTGACCGTCGACCATTTTCCGGCGACCGGTTGCAGAATTCCGACGACCAAATTTCTGGACATAAAATAAAAAAAAATTTATTTTTTTATTTTTTTTATTTAAATAAATTTTTCATAATGACAATTATACCCCTGCTTTGATTTTATACTAGGTCAACTCATTTAATAAAAAGTCATCACAATCCTAGCTTCCTATTGGTTGGGGACTAGTGTTGTTACAATAACAACACAATGGGTGTTGTTACAATAACTAGTCCCACTCTGGATTTATATTTTGTGTATAATCAAAATTGACTTCTTAATTTTGAATTAGGCTAGATTTTAGGGTCGAGATTAATTTTTTTATTTTTTCAATATTTTATTTACTCATATATTTTTTTGTTTTAACTTGATATTTTTTTTCATAGATGAAAAGTTAATTGCGATCTACAAAATTATATCCGTTTTTCTATTTCTTCCATAATGATACTTTACAACTCTTATGTAAAATAAATATCAATTACGTAAGGGTTAATACCTTATTTTAGCCCGAACCATACCTAAACTTTCTACTTGGGCCCATGGTTTCCGAAATTGCTCCCCTGGCGCGAACTATCATCATACTGCCTTGCTTGGTTCAACGCGGGTTTTGACCGCAAATTGGACGGTCAACTCCATTGACCGTTAGTCAAATGTCAGGTCACTTGCCACGTCAGCGAACCCGAATTAAAATTTTAGATTTTTAATTTATTTAATTCATTTTGTTTTCTAATAACAATAATAATTAATGAAAAAAATAATTCAAAATTTTGGATAGCGAAAATAATTACAGAAATTCAAAATTTTCTATTTTGGGTTCGCTGATGTGGCAAGTGACATGGCACTTGACTAATAGTCAATGGAGTTGACCGTCCAATTTGATGGTCAAAACCCGCGTCAGGCCAAGTAAGAAAGTATAGTGCATAGTTCGGGCCAAGGGAGCAATTTCAGAAAACACGGGCCAAAGTAGAAAGTTTGGGTATAGTTCGGGCCAAAATAAGGTATTAATCCATTACATAAATGTTACAAAATATCAATTCTCTATTACCCAATAATTAAATTAGAAGCGTTACGTAAGGCTTGCGTAATGACTAAACAATTTACGTAAAAAAAAAGTATAATATTCATTACATAAATGACTTTCAATTACGTAAGGCTTCCGTAATGACATTTGACAACCATTACGTATAATATACATTTTAATGTAACAATTTAATTATAAGCATTACGTAAGTCTTCTATAATGACCTAGAACTTTACGTAACTCGCAGTTAATGTTCATTACATAAAATATCCATACATTACTTAAGGCTTTTGTACGTAATGACACTTTACAACTATTACGTAAAATACACGTTAATTACGTAAAGGTTAAGGAACACCAGTTTTCCTATGTAATTGTTAAATCAAAAGTGTTACCTAAGGAAATATTTTTTGCATTTATTTTCTTCAAATAACACGTGAGAATGGGTTGTCCCGCCCCGCCCCGCCCCATATCCGCACGGATATTACCTAACATGGCCCGCGTTTGGTGTGGGACGGTGCGGGTATCTACTCATACCCGCCTCCTTCACCCGTTGGTAATCTATAAGCATACAATATCTAACCATTACTTAATGTTTATTGTGTTTTACGTAACGCGACTCGTGAAACTTTATAACATATGAATAATTTCAAGTTATCTTACTTCAAACTATCATAGAAATTCTTAGTGATTTAACATGTCATGTTTCTTTATACTACATAATATTGTTTTAGTCCATACTCCATTAATATGCCATTAATGACACTAATTATGGTAATAAAAATGACACTAATTATGTAATAGTCCAACCAAAATACTAATGCATTTTCTCCTTTCAGAACATGGGCCCGGCCCAATTAACATAAATCAGTTTATTTTGAGAGGGAAAAACGAGAAGATGTATAAGAGCATTCACATTGTTATTGCATTCTCAATTGCAAAATGACATGACATAGGTGTTGCATTGTAAAATCAATTGCATTGATGTGGCTACAAATTGCATATTTGCAAGCTTACAACAAATGCAATTTCATATGCAAGTAAAAAAAACCTAAAAAAATGGGGATTTTTTATTTTTTTTTTCTCTTTTACTTAATTTTCTATAATTTAAACATAATATTTAATTACATTTGCAATTGCAAGTTAATTGTTAATTGCATTGATGTAGGTGAATGAAATGAATGTGATGTGGATTGAAAAAAATTGAGTTGACAATAAAAAACACAAATGCAATTGCTTTGCAATTGTATTGATAGAGAGATGCTATAATAACCTAAATCAGCCTTTCGATAGTTGCACAGGAGCCCAAAAATTTGAAATGGGGCATCCGTTTTCCCTTTGTGCTATTTATAATTAGAGGTACTAATTAACGCCCTAAGTTTTTTAAAATTTGTCGCCCTAACTTGATAATTTGACCTTTTCGCCCTCAAATATTCCCAATCACTAAAAGAATTTCGCCCTAGGATTAACGGGGGAAAGTTAATCTGCTAACTTGAAGATTCGTTAGTAGATACTAATTGATATCCAAAATACATGAACTAGTATTCAAGTACTAAAGTATCTAGAGAGTACAAACTAGTATTCAAAGTTTGCTAACTGATATCTATCATGAATCAACTATTATCCCAAATTCACAAACTAATATCTAGACAACACATAATAGTATCCATATAGAACATAATTAGTATCCAGATAACACATAAGAGTATCCAGATAATAAATAAGAGTATCCATATTGAATACTAGTTGGTGATTATGGATATTAGTTGGTATCTGCTATCTGGATACTAGTTTGTGATGTTTTGAATATTAGTCTGTGTTATCTAGATACTCAGCAGACTTGGATATTAGTTCATACATTTTGGATATTAGTTAGTATATACTAACGAATTTTCAAGTTAGCAGAATAACTAGGCTGGGATTAACGCTGTCACCGCCTTCAATGAAGTTTTCGCCGTATGGGAGTGCTGCTGGGTAATTGGTCGCCGTCGCTCCAATCCCTAAAATAATTTCGACAGCGGCTGAGGGTCAATGCTTAATCAGAGCTAGCACCTTCACAGTTATTGCCGATCAATTCAGTATTTAAACCCAATGAGACCAAGAGAGATCAACCATATCTTATATTCAGTATGAAGAAAATGGTGAACAAGAAGATTCTGCTTCGTATGGTAGTTGGCCTGCTGATTGTGATACTTTTTTTCATGGGTGGAGCTCGATCTACCTTGGCTGGTCGAGCAATTCTCCAACGTGGTTTGCAGTCCCCTGATGAAGAACACCTTGGTGAGTTCCAGGGCGACGAACTTTCAGGGCGAACGGCGGCTTGGCTGCGACGGGAGGGCGTACGGCGGCAGCGGTCATCCAGTGCGACTAACGGCGAGATTGATTTGGGGGATTAGGACGTCAATTTTGGGAAAAAGGGTTTGAGGAATTAGGGGCAATTTTGTCTGTTCGGTTAATTTAGGGCGGAAATTTAAAAAACTCAGGGCTTTAAATAGAACTGAATGGCTAAACGTCGCCCTAATATTACTAATATTGCCCTAACTTAAAATGTTAAAATACAAAAATATCCTTCATTGATCGACCCATATTCAATAAAATAAATCGCCCTAAAATACTCGCCGAACTAACTTCCGCCGCCGCTTCCCCCGTCCTCCTCGTCCTCCTCTATGCCATTCTTCCAGATTTGCCGACGGCGCTACCACCCATTCGTTGTTTCTTCTCCCTGCCATCGCTATGGCCCTCTCCCTCAATGCGTGTGTATGCGACTCTGCGTTTCTCACTGCAATCTCACCGGCAGCCACCGTTCCTTTCCGTTTCCTTCCATGTGAAATCACGATTAAAGTGTTTTTGTCTATTTAGACTATTTATCTAGGGAAAGCTTTAACATACTTGAGAAAGTAAGTTTTCTTAAATGAAGGTAAGACTCGACGAAGGTATAGGACATGGGAGGGACGCAGGGGTGATGGCGGTGGGAATCTGCTGATGTTTGTTAAAATATATTTTTTAATAAAATAAATAATGAAAGGATAAAAGTGTAATATTAAACTTTAAGTTAGGGCGATTAGGGCGTTGATTAGCAATTCCCTAGAACTGAAATCCAGTTTATAATAGGGTAGATTCTATCATTTCTCCAACTCAAGCTCCCTCTGGAGAGGAGGTTGGTGTAAGGAATGAAATTCCGGCCGGCGGGCCCAGAGAAATTGACGCACCCACGTTGTAGACTTGCCAGTCAGTCTCTCTGCGTAGACGACCATCCCTTAGCCAAGCATAACATGGCGCCCACCAACACCACCATCTCCTTGCTTGCTCCTTCCTTCCCTCCCTCCAGATTAGAATCTCCCCGTCCCCGATATATAAACACTTCCAAGCCAGATTAAACCCTCGACTGACATAGAGAAAAGAGCAGAAAAAACGCAGAGAGAGAGAGAGAGAGAGATGAGGACTCCAAGGAACTGGTTCAGCAAAGTTGGAAGGAAACTCCTCAGTCCTTCCCGCAGAAGACGAGACGTTGTTCTCCACTCCAACGCTTCCTCAAGAAGCCATCACGACGATTTAACCACAGCATGCCACAACATAGTCATGGACAATTCGCAGGGCTGCTCACTCCCCTCAAACACGCAGCACGCCGCCGCCCTGAAAATCCAAGCAACTTTCAGGGGTCATCTGGTACACGCTTCCCTTCTCCCACAATTCAAAATGCAAGTGTGTATCAGCGCAGCAGCAAAAAAACTATGATCAGCTGACTTGACTTGGTAAAACATTGCAGGCGAGACGGGCATTTGGGGCGCTGAGGAGCTTGGTGAAGGTGCAGGCAGTGGCTCGTGGGGCCTACGCGAGAAGACAGTCGCAGTTAGCTCTGAACTGCATGCGCGCCCTTGTTCGCTTACAGGTCCGAATTAAAGCCAGACAGCTCCTCGGACCATCCACCACCTGACTACTCAACGCATGAGAGTTGCATTTGTGTGGATTACATACATCCCCTCCCCCAATTGTTATTAGCTTAGCAAGTCAATGAGAAAAAAATTTCCAACCCACTCCACTAGTGAATGTTGAACATCAAGAAGCTACCTCAAGGAAAATAAGACGAGACAAAGCCGGAAATGCACCAAACCGAAGCTCTGTACTAGAGAGAGAGAGAGAGAGGGGAAAACAAACATGGCCGTTTGCCTTTTTAGGTGAAGGGGGCGAAGTAAGCGCTTAACGGGCGGGCTGATTGGGAAAGAGAATAAGAATGAATCGTTTCTTTCTCGATTCAGATCGGACGGTTGATATGGAACGCGAGGAGGGCCGACGTGACATTTGGGGCGGTGGAGCGATCTAGTGGATTACAGTACAAAATATAGCCGTTATGTATTGTAGTCGTGGGGTGTGGACGGCTGGCAGAATCCCAATGCTAGCGATGTTGTTGTAGCCTAGGATGGACTGGGCCCGTCATGTTGAAAAAGGAAAGTTTGGGCCCTATGAACTCTAAAGCTGGGATTTCAGCCCAAACCAGTTCCTCCACTCACTGGTGAGGTTAATATGGTGGGCCTCAATTGCAACCAAACTGTTGACCCGATCCGAACCCGCCCGAAAAATAGAAGTTTTTATAACCCGAAGTCTGAATAACCCGAATCCGATGAACCTGTGATTTTTTGGGTCGGATTGGGTGGGTTAGCGGGTCAACCCGTTAGACCCGTTCCATTTCATGTCACTCCCAAAATGATAAAATCACTTATCAATTGGTGAGATGTCTAAAAAAAATCACAAGGATTTGAAAGACTGCTTGGAGTTTAAAGATAATCATATATCATGATTGTTTTTTGACTATTTGTGCAACTTGTATTTCATTTCATTAGCATGGGAGGATTTGAGAATATGTTAATTGACATATGTTAGGTAAATTATTGTGTGAAAATTTTTTTACTATAAAAAATATGAAGCATGTTTGATATAGTTTCTGTGAGCGATCTAACCTGAAACGACCTGTAACCCAACCTGAAACCCGATGGGTTGGGTCAATATTTGACCCAAAATCAACCAACTCAATATGACCTGACCTGTGACTCGAGACCCAACCCGACCTGATTGTCAGGTCTAATTGCTGCTGTCATGCAATGAAAATTGTACAAATTGTCCGCACCGGGGTCGGATAAGCTCATAAAGTAAACCAAGTCTCATGGCCATGTGGTGCTCCTCATATGTTGTGTTGTGTGTTTATGTTTGTTTTTTCCATGCAAATGAAGCAATATATTGATTGTAGGGTAATTAGTTTGACTATTTTTCTCGATAGACTTGGGTATAACAACATACATGACAAAGTAGCACTAGTTGTACGTGTCCAAAATCATGGTGATGGGATGCTCTAAGAAATTATTAGAATCACTCCCAAGCACCATACAAAATTTCATAGGTACATTGGTTGAAGTGTGCAATCTGGTCTCTCATATTATCAATTCTATATAGAGAAAAGAACTCTTATATGAAAGATTGGACCAGATTGTCTCACGCATGAAAAATATCAAGAGTTAGGACATTGGCGAATTAGTAAGCTCATTGCTTCCTCCCAAATGGAGAAATGAAAAAGGCATAACCTGATTGCATCTGGCTCAATACCAGGTTGTTTTGCGGAATCACATGTCTCTAGAGTCTAGACACACTTTGATGTGCTCGACATGATTTTCGTTATCCTGTCCCTCAAAACGTCCAACATTTTGGCCGTATGAATCGTGGAAGTCTACAACTCAAAATTTGGAATAGTTATTGGGGAACAGTGCTAGAAGCAATATTCGCAGCTTGATGCCTGGTGTACATCTTAGAGAGTTCATTTGGCCATACCACTTGGAGTTTTTGGTTCATAAGGGGTTTATTGCTTTCCGCTTTTAAACACATGTCAAAATGATGGTTAAGACAAAGTGTTGTGAGTTGCCATTCCTTAAAACATCTCTTTCTAGCTCGTGGTGACCTTGCTTTCGAAGAATTAGAGATACCACTACAATAAACGCAACCTTGGAAAGCATTTTGAGATTAAGGGGTCATTTGGAAGTTGCGATTGTTAAATAGATGTATTGTTGAGAATGCATGTATAATATTATACATGTATTGTCGAATTTGATACATTGTAGAATACAACGTTTGGTATGTGTGATTGTGTATGTTGCATCAGCTAAAAGCTGAGACAAAACAATCTCAACTCAACTATCTCAACAATCACAACTAAAAGTTGAGATATAACAATCACTCAAAATGAGTGATAGTTTCTGTCACATCACAAAAACAATCCATGTATTGTTTCTGCTAAAAATAAACAAAAAAACGATGCATTGTAAACAATACATACATAATGACAATCTCAACAAAACTATCGCAACTTCCAAACGACCCCTAAGTTTGTTTGTCCTGCACCTAGTTTGTGTAAGGCTCATACACAAAAGTTGTTGTACAACAACTGTCAAACAACGAGATCATATAAAAATGGTGTCAGAACCGTTGATTTTTTTTCCAAGAATTGGCTCCCTGACTGTTGATTGGCGTATGGTGCATAAGATTTGTACAAATAGGACCTAGATTTTATTCTGTAAGGGTTAGAGTATAGTATCATGTCTCAAAATCTGGTTAATTCAAGTTTTAGATATCATTTTCTTACTTGTTGTGGTACCCCAAGTTGTACCCAGTGTACAATAGAATTATGAGCAGGCGGTTCATGTCAAAACGATGTCAATCGTCACTTGTTATATAAGGAAAATGAAACTCGATGAATTTACTAAAAAATCATTCAAAATTTACTTGGATTTGAAGGATTTAGAGTTAGGGTTCACAATTTGGAGTTTATGGTTGATGTAAAAAATTGAAGGTTTAGGGGTTAGGGTAATGCCTACCAATCTCTCAACGGTCAATTATTGTTTTCTCTTAAATTGAACTTCGGCTTTGGGTTTAGTGAATCGAGGTATGGGGTTTATCCATTAGAGGTTAGGGTATAGTATCCTGCCCCACTCATGGTGTAGATAGATATATCTCACTATGAGTACCTGGAGCATACGAGTCTGACCAATATATATATATATATATATATATATATGGTGCCTTCTACGGTACCCCGGGTGAAATTTGGGGTACCACATACCTTGAGTATGGAAACAGTATCTAGACCTCAAATTAGGAGGATTTTTGGGTCTGGTACTATACCCTAACCCTTAATGAGTGAACCCTAGGTCCTAGTTATCTAAATCATAATCTATAAACCCTAATTTGGTGCATTCCTTTTTGTGCCTATATTTGGACGAATCGTAACCGTCGATTATTGTTTCTAATTAAATTGATCTTGGAGTATAAGATTGGGAGAATTAAGACCTAGATTTTGATCTTTAAGGGTTAAAGTATAGTATCATGTCCGAAAGATCGGTCAATTCAAGGTCTAGATAGTGTTTTAATACTCAAGGTATGCGGTACCCCAGATTTTACCCAGGGTACCATAGAACTCCCCATATATATATATATATATATATATATATATGGGTCAGACTGGTGTACGTCAGGCGTATACTATACGTCAGGTACTACTAGTAAGATATCTCTATCTAGACCATGAATTAAATTGAGTTTGGGGTATGATACTATACCCTAACCTTTAATAGATAAACCCCAGGCACCGATTTTCTAAACCCCAACCCGAAGTTTGATTTAATGAAAAACAAAAATTGACGGTTGAGATCAGCCGGAGCTCATCCAGGTACATCTAACGGCTAGATCACCTGACGTATACTATACGTCAGGTGATAAACCTTTAATAGATAAACCCCAGGCACCGATTTTCTAAACCCCAACCCGAAGTTTGATTTAACGAAAAACAAAAATTGACGGTTGAGATCAGCCGGAGCTCATCCAGGTACATCTAACGGCTAGATCACCTGACGTATACTATACGCCTGACGTACACCAGTCATCACCATATATATATATATATATATATATATATATATATATATATATATGGAGCGTAGCATGCTCCACATGATCTAACCGTTAGATTTACATTGATGATCTTCGACTAATCTCAACGGTCAACTCTCATTTTCTCTTAGATTGAACTTCGGGTTTAGGATAAGAAAATCGGGGCATGAGGTTTATCCATTAGAGGTTAGGGAGCATAGTATATCTCAGTTTATTCATGGTCTAGATAGATATATCTCACTATGAGTATATGGAGCATAGTATGCTCCAGGAGCACACGATTCTAACCCCTAATCGGTTGCCTGCTTCCATCTCCCTCTATACGACCAACAACCTTCTTCCTTTTTCTTCTTCCATATCCCTTCCAATTCGTCCCGACGACCTCAATGATTTCTCCTTTCCGCCGCCATAAACACGACTTCTTTTCGACAAGTCGAGGGGCATAATATGTTCATCGCTCCATCTTTTCTCATGTCCGGCAAATCGAAGGCCCTCTCGGTCAACTTCACCCTTGCGACCCTTATTCCTTTCTGATATGTCCTCTATCTTCTTCCTTTTTCCCTCCGCCGATGACGACGAGCAATAACAAGGACGATTTTGAAGAAGTCCAATCATCATTTAAATTCAACCTTCTCTAGTTGCTACCTCGTCCCTTCCAAATCGCTAAGCCGTCCTTGTCTCATCTCATCATCTTACGCCTTTGACTTGCCTAGTCGCCTTCGACCTTCCTAGTTGACATGCAAGCCTCCTGTCGACGATGACGAGTTCAATGAGTGTCGCCGCTGCTTCCTCGTTGTTCTTTGCCGCTAAGGATTCCGAATCGACTGCCGATGATGATTGGCGGTGAAGTCCGCGTGAATTGTTTGGAGCCGACGATAGGGATGTTTTTGGGTTGGGCGACTGACGAGTTTCTAGAATTCGTGAAGCAAGTCGTCGTTACCTTGCTCCGTACTAGTCCCAAATGTGTGCAATTTTTGTCGGGGGAGATCACAATTTCTTGTTCAGACCCGACGTAGAAGATGGGTTAGGAATTTGGGTAAAATTCTAATTTAATTTTTTTTTATTAAAATCTCTCATTTATTGCAAAACACGTTATTTTCGCAAAATCCTACACTTAAAATACCAGGTTTTTAATGTGAGATTTGAGCCCCAAATCACTCGTTTTAAAATCCTTGATACAAACGACCT